ATGACAAGGAAAAGCTATGGGATTTGAGTTTAAGGCGTTATGAATGCCTTGAGAAGAGTACAACGAATTTTGCAGAAATCAAGGGATAAAAATGCATGTTACCGCTGAGTTGTTATTGAGTTTTTGAGGAAGAGTTGAGATTAAAACTGCTTACTTGGTTGATAGAGAATTTCTTCAGAAGAAGAATAGTGAAAACCAAGGGAGAAACCTAGAAAAAACTATAATGGAGAAAATTCAGTTTGAGGTGGAGTTTCCTACTATAGATGCTAGCAGTAGTGAGGGAACGGTCACGGAGATCTCTGATTATCATTTGACTCATGATAAGGTAAGGAGGATTATTGTAGCATCTCAAAGGGACAGTTATGTTAGCCTTAGATATTATGTTTTTAATGTGGCTGAAGGACTGCAAAATAAAAGAAGAAAAACCTTCAAGGAGGCATTTGAAAACAGGTGGAGTCAAGGGTGGTTGAAAAATCATACTTGTAGGCTTGTTAAATTACCTAGGCAGAAAAGGGTCATTGAAAATAAGTGGATGCAAGTTGTGAGATCAAGATTCAAGGGTTGCTTGAATTTGACCAAAGTTATTGATTAAAGTTTCAACTTGATAGAGAGAAGCAATGATGTTGATTGTTAAATTGGTATCAATGCGGTTTAAAGTCAAGGTGGAGATTGTTGTAAATGTGTCTTAAAACTTTTGTTGATGAAGAGAAAGAAAACATATTTTGAAGATTGCATTTACCACGAAAAGTTGAAAGAAAAAAAATCGTGCAGTGAATAGTGTCGCCCGTACGGTGAATAGTAATATCAGTATGGATGAATAGTAATGCCCGTATAGTGAATAGTATTTCAAGTTTTCGAATTTTTTTTCGATTCGTTCCATGGATCTATGTGATTTTGGATTTTGTTTGTTGGGTATTTACTATTATAAGTGTGTGACAATCTTAGAGTTTCACCAACAAGTGAGACCAAGGGTTTAAAGGTATAACATAGGGTTTCAACTATTCACAAAGAAAACCTTATATTACACCTTGGGTTTGAGTAATTCATATATTGAGAGTTGAAGAGATAGAGAAACACTTGGGTAAAAAATAGGGTTGTTTTTGGGCGCCTTTAGGGTTGTTCTTAGGAACTTAGCTATTTTCTTATAACTCATCTATAATCTCTTGTAATAACTTTTTGAGTATAGTGACTTGAAGAGTGCTCTCTCCCTCAGAGTAGATCGTTTGATCGAACTGGAAAAACAAACATTCGTTTTTTTCTTGTCTTATTCTGTTATATTATCTGCGTACGAATTATTATTGTTGAAGACCATTTATTTTGGTTGCTATTGTTTTTGCCTCACAAGTTGATATTGAATTTTGTCATAATTCACAACAAAATTCACAACATCAACAATGCTGATAAAAAAGAGTCGGAAATCCACCTTCATCCAAAATTTATGTGGATCCATATTGAAAAGAGCCTTTTGATCTCTAAATTAGACTCAGTAGTGTGTAAGCTTACTTGATGATCCTCTCTTCCAAATAAGTAGGATAAGAGGGAAAAAAAGTATGAGCTCCCTAATCTCATAGCCTTTTTTAAAAAGTTTAGAGAAATATTGCATCACCGTCTCTTTCATCTTCTCTGCATCATATTCTCAATCTCTATTCTCATTCCTAATAGCCATTATTTTATTCATCCTTCTACGCATGATCTTCTTCGAATGGTAGAGTATATATTGATATCTCTTTTTAACTTATAGTAATAATAGTAGAGTATAGTAGGATGTGACCTCAGTAATTTACACAATTTACAACTTGTTTGGATTTTGATACATCGTTTTCCCACCTATGGCCGATTAACTTTCCAATTCCTACTTTCGGCTTAACTCTTCTACTTGTACTTTCGGCTTTAACGTGCATTACCACCTTGCTATATTCATCTAATCATTTTTTACTTAAGATAAATTTGTAACTATACTTCTATAGAAACATCACCTGAATTCTAAACTTAGCTAAAACAATCATTCACCAAAGTTTTTTTTACCAATGTTTCATAATTTCTTGTTGAGAAAATTGTCTAAACTAAACCTATTTAAAAAAGGAAACTCACATATTTGTTTTTTGTTGAAAAGGACTATCTCAATAAATATATAATTAATTGATTTCATTGAGTTTAATACTTATGTTTAATCTAAACTTGTAAGCAATTTTGTCAACTTCTAATTTACATTACAATTTCAATTATTATTAACTTGAATATTTTAGATTCATGATTAGGCTCTCTCTTCTATATAAAGAGCACTTAAATAAAGATTATAGTAAGTACTAGTAGTACCTATGTGAGTGAACCTTTATTTCATTGTTATCATCCATGAATGTGATGGATTATGATCAATTTCATGAGTGTAACTTGGAAATTGCTTTTCCATTTTTCCAAACACAAGATGTCTTATCTCCAAATACAATCCTAAATGAAATATTATTTGATCAACAAGATCAATCACAGTATCTCTTATCTCCGAATACCATAGATGAGATCTTTGATCAAGAAAAGTCCATAGAAAGATCGTTGCAGCAACATACAAGTCACGACGTGACAATGCCTCTGGAGAATGAATTGTGTCAAGGAACTCTTGAAAAAGGCTGCGAAAACGTGAGAGAGGAGGACTCGTTTTGGAAGGAAGTTCAAGATGAGTTAATGGAAGAGACAAGTCTAGTTGATCTTTTGCTGATAGGAGCAGAAGCTGTTGAATCTCAGAACATGACACTTGCTTCTGACATAATCGAAAAACTAAACAATGCAGCGTTTCTAGAAAACGGCGATAGTTTATTGAACAGGTTGTGTCCTTTCTTTACACAAGGTTTGTTTTACAAAACTACAAATGCTCCTAAATTCCACTGTGAACATGTTTCTACACAGACAAGCACATTCTGTGTGTTTCAGATACTTCCAGAACTCTCTCCGTACGTAAAATTTGCTCATTTCACAGCAAATCAAGCAATTTTTGAAGCTACGGATGGTGTTCAACATGTTCATGTCATTGATTTCGATATCATGGAGGGAATTCAATGGCCATCGCTGATGGTTGACTTTGCAATGAGAAAGAACACTACTTCACTTAGAGTAACAGCAATCACAGTAGATCAGCAAACTGCAGCCTCGGTTCAACAAACGGGAAGAAGGCTAAAAGAGTTTGCAGATTCAATCAATTTCCCGTTCGTGTTCGATACGATGACGATGGCAAGAGAAGAAGATTTTCAAAGAATCGAACACGGTGACATGCTTATTATAAACTGTATGATACATCAGTGGATGCCAAACAGAAGTTTCTCATTTGTCAAAACTTTTCTCAATGGCGTGAGAAAATTATCACCAAAGCTTATTGTGTTAGTTGAAGAGGAACTGTTTAATTTTTCTAGACTCAAATACATGTCTTTTGTGGAGTTTTTCTGTGAGGCTTTGCATCACTATATAGCAGTTTGTGATTCACTAGTTACTACTTTGTCGGGTGGTCATAAGATGGAGTTAAGCCTTATAGTGAAAGATGTGTTGGGAGTTAGAATCTTGGACAGTGTAAGACAGTTTCCTTGTGAAAGAGAAGAGAGAATGTTGTGGGAAGAAAAGTTTTTTTATTCATTGAAAGGGTATAAAGGTGTTGGTATGAGTACATACAATATTTCACAGGCTAAGTTCTTGGTAAGCTTGTTTGGTAAAGGGTATTGGGTGCAATTTGAGAATTTTAGGTTGGCTTTAAGTTGGAAATCAAGACCTTTGACTTCAGTTTCAATCTGGGAACCAATAGATTATATGAGTAACAAGGTCAAATAGATTGAAACTTAGTTTTTTCTTTTGGTTTGTAAAACTTGTTTTGTATTATTTTTTTAATTATTAAGATTATTATGGATGGATAGGTGATGTATTGTGATTGTAGGTACCAATAGATTATATGGATGGAAAAGCTGCAAGTGTTGGCTTGACTGTACAATAAGACAGATGAAATGTAATTTTTGTGGCTCAATTTATGTTCAAAACAGTTACTAGACAAGATCCATAAATGAAACACTTTGTAAGGTTTCAAGATTTCTGAGGAAATGCCAAGAGAAGGACATTCTTAAACACCGGTGTTTGGTGCAGTAACAAGGCAGGCCGAGAGTCTACAAATTATTGTAACTTAGCAGTCTGCAAGATGAATAAACTATAATAACAGTTCAAAAGAACCATAGTTTATTATACTGACAAATTGTGTGCTGAAATTGGCATAAGGGAACATGACAAGGAAAGTTCCAAAGAATAATGTAACCAACACATAAGCATTACAGGCTAGGTAAAAGCTTTTAATAATAAAAAAGATGCAACTTTTCAATAGCCAACTAAGGAATTAGCAAATGTTTGAATTTGTAGGCACCCAGTAAGAATTGAAAGGCACATTCCATTGCACATATTCTCACCCAAAAGAAATGCATTTCACAAAATAACATGCATTCAAAATTTCAGATCACAGAATAGGATGCTGAAATGGAAGTTTCTCCATAAGAAACATTTTTGAAATGTGCCCAAAAATGCTCATCGGCTCATTATATAGCACCGACTCTGTATAAAAAAGGCATGTTTGTTTCTGTGTCGATCTGACACGACACTGACACTTGTAATTACACTCAATTAATTCATTTTTTTTTAATTATTAGCGGTGTCGACGTGTCAATGTGCTTTATAGCATATAACACAAGAACAACCAAGCCTTGTATATTATTCACAGTCAGAACAATGGCATTGTCTTGATCAAGTAAACATATATTTGCACTATAGAAACATAATTTTGAATACATCTTGCTCATTCTATTTATTCAATAAGTTATATTTCGCATAGTATCTTGATAAACAAGCAAAGAATGACTCATGACTCATCAAAACAATTTTTCGATACAATTCATAACTCAGAAATCTAGAATACAACAACAACAAAAAAACTGCATGAGTTACAAATTAGGTTCCAGATCTTGAGAATTTTGAATCTAAACTTAGGTTCCAGATTTTGCATTCCGAAACCCTTTCTTCAATTCAGCCATTCTTTTCATACAAGCCGCTTTCGATTTTCCCGGAACAGCAGCAGCAACTTTCTCCCATCTCATTGCAACATCTTTCGGAAAAGCTTTCAGAGCATTCAACAGAGCAATGTCCTCATTCGAACTCCAAACACTCTCAACTTTCTCAACCGTAGCTAATTCTCCTCCTTCTTCAACAAGTCTCTTATCCAACGCTTTTCTTTTCTTCAGAAACTGATCATACGAATCCGAATCATCAACCTTCTTCTCCCCTAACTCCTTCACCTTCTTCACCACGCTCTCTGCTTTGTGCCGCCCTCCGAATGCCTCCGCTATCACCTCCCATCGTCCCGGTTTCCCTACCGGATGTTTCACAATCTGCTTCTTCAGAATCTCAATGTCGTCCTCGGTCCATTCCTTCTCCTCCACCACCGCGGTCAATGCAACACCGTTTCCGTTTCCATTTCCATTTCGATTCTTCAAAGCACCTCCGTCTGAAACTACCGGCGCCGGAAGAACTACTGACGCAACATCCTCCGATCTGCGCAGCTTAGATCGGCGCTGCTGAGATCTTTTCCTGACGTCATCATCATCAGTCGATGCTTCCTGATCGGGGAAGTTAACGACATGACCACGGCCGACGCGGAAATCACCGCCGGTGATTGAGCTAGGAGCGAATGGACCAAGGAGAAGTGATAGTGCGAACCAGAAGAGAATCGATCTGTAAGGTTCCGATGGGAAGACGAAAATGGCGAGAGCGAAGAAGATTGAAGAAAGAGCAACGGTTACAGCGATGAACGGTTTCGTTGGTTTCTCGGGAGGCTGTGATACAGTGGGTGCGGGTGCACCGGACTGAAACAGGAACTTCGGTTTCGCGTCTTCGTCCAAAAATTCCATTCTTCTCGCAATCAATCTTCACTCTTTTGCTTCTGCATCAACAAAACGAGAGAACACGTAAAACGATGTCGTCTGGTCTAATTTTACTTGGGCTAATTGGGCCTCCTTTTTATTTTATTCGGCCCACAAGCCCATAAAACAAAAAAAAGTTACACCCTAGTGGGAGGCACGGCATGGCGGCGATGTGATGTGGATGAAAATGGCACGTGGATTGAAAGGAAAAAAAAAAAAAACAAGATGAATGAATAAGTATAAATAAAGAGTGGATTTATTAGTTCCCTTTCTGTTCTATATTTTTTCTGTTTTTAGAAGATTACGATGATGACGATAACGAGATAATATATCTCTCTTGCTCCGATTAGGGTTTCATTCTCGCTTCCTTTAATTTCCTGAAGCTCACAAGCGCTTGATTTTCAGGTAAAAACAGAAAAAATTAATAACACGAAGCTGAAATTATTGTGATTGGAACTTATTGCATTATTGAATTTCATCCGTTATATTTGTTTTCGAATTTTGCGTTATTCTATTTGTAATTTACTTAGTTCAATTATGAATGCTACTATTTGTTAGGATTTGAACGGTTTTGTAATTTACCTATCGTTGTTAGTTGATAATTTTGATTTCAACGGCGATTTCTGATTAATGCTGTGTTAAATTAATCTAACTTGATTTTTAGGGTTTGATTTTTAACACGGTGTAGATGAGTTTGGCTGGGACGGAAAGCTCGGAAGAGGGTGCAGTGCATCCGGAGCCACCTGATCCTGATGTTCTTGAGATTGATCCAACTTGTCGTTACATCAAGGTAATGCAATTGGATATGATTTGATCTGTTTTTAATTTAGGGTAGAATATATAAACCTACATTATAATTACAATGCACTAAGCTGATTCTGCTTTTTTCATCTGTAACAGTATAAAGAAGTGATTGGCAAAGGAGCCTTCAAAACTGTGTAATTTTTAGTTTTGCCTTTTTATGCATATATGATTCTTTTACTCTTTTGGATTGTTGTGGAAAGTAGTGCGTTTTCAGTGTCGAAAGGGGTTTATATACAATAAATATAATACAATGCAATTTGTTGTTAATTAAGATTAAGAATAATTTTATTTTTGGAGTTGATTTTGTTTCAAAGTGTAAATGTTTTACGTAATATGTGATAAATCAGTTACAGAGCATTTGATGAGGTCAATGGGATTGAAGTTGCATGGGGCCAGGTTCAGATTGACGAGGTGTTGCAATCACCGGGTGACTTAGATAGGCTATACTCAGAAGTGCATCTCTTGAAATCGCTACGGCACAGTAACATAGTAAGGTTCTACAATTCTTGGATTGATGACAAGCGCAAGACTGTTAATATGATTACTGAGCTATTTACTTCGGGTAGCCTTAAACAGTAAGTCCAATATCCCTTTCATATGTATCATTAATCTCTTTGTGCCTTTGTTTATTGCGAGATCAACCATTCTGTTAGTGGATGCGGTGCATGATTTAGGTATCGTAAAAAACACAAGAAAGTTGACTTGAAGGCTGTCAAAGGATGGGCAAGACAGATTCTGATGGGTTTAAACTACCTTCACAGTCACAATCCACCAATTATACACAGGGACTTGAAATGTGATAATATATTTATCAATGGTCACCAAGGAGAAGTTAAAATTGGTGATTTGGGGCTGGCAACTCTCTTGACTCAGGCTAATGCTAAGAGTGTTATCGGTATATTTTTCATTTTCGCTGCACTTTTTTTTCTGCTGATACATGTTAATCCTTTGCGTAGTTAAAACATATATAGTTTTATATTATTTTTACCATCCTGTAGTGCTAGAAATAGTATTAGACCATATTTATCGCTTTGCTATGTCCCGTTGCTGTTTGATTTCTAACCAGTTATATTTATACCTATGAAATCCTGGTAGGAACTCCGGAGTTTATAGCACCTGAAATGTATGATGAAAATTACAACGAATTAGCTGACATATACTCATTTGGTATGTGCATGCTTGAGTTAGTGACTTCTGAGTATCCTTACAGTGAATGCAGAAATTCAGCGCAGATATACAAGAAAGTTTCATCTGTAAGTTATGCGGTATTTGTAATGTTCTTTTTTGTGTAAGCTAGCTAATACTGGATTATATGATCATTCATAATAATATCATTCTGTAGGGTATAAAGCCTGTTGCTCTTTCTAGAGTGATAGATCCCGAGATAAAATCATTTATTGAAAAATGTCTGGTTCCCGCCTCCCAAAGATTGTCGGCAAAGGAGCTTCTGATGGACCCCTTTGTTCAAGTAAATGGTTCAGCAAAGAACATTTCTTTTCCACTGCCTGATATTGTTCTTCCTAAACTCGGAGCCTCTGAAAACAGAGGTATGATGTCAGAAGGTCCTGCTAGTACACGTATTAGGGCTATTTCTATGGATCTTGGTGACCCTAACGAGCTACCTGTGATCACTGTACTTGATAATTCCACTGTCGATGCATCATCTTCTCCAAGTGTTGAGATAAGAAGGTTGAAGGGAGGTGATACCTTCTTTCTAAAAGGCGATCAAAATGATGAGAATTCTGTATCATTAGTTCTTCGGATAGCTGATCAGAAGGGTCAGTAAACTTTTAAGCTCATTTTTACTCTTCAATAACTTTTAAATTTGTAAGTGGAAAGTTAAATTCTTTTGGGATTTATATGCAGGACAAGCAAGAAATATCCATTTCATCTTCTACCTTGACAGTGATACTGCTGTCTCAGTTTCAAAGGAAATGGTTGAGCAACTTGAACTTGCTGATCAGAACGTAAAATTTATAGCTGAGTTAATCGATTTATTGTTGATGAAATTGATTCCTGAATGGAAACCTTGTGTGGCAATCGATCATTTGGCCTCTGCAAATAGTAAATGGACTAATGCTAGCCAACAGAGTGACACAAAGTTGGCTAAATACAAAGGAATCTCTAAACATTCCACTGAAGATGCAGGTCCCTTGACCTCGTACGGAAAATCAGCTGCAAAAGAGAACGTTGACAATATGGATATATGTTCTGAGATGTCATATGCTTCTGCAACATCAGACATCAATGGTAAGTTTTCTATGGTTTCATTCATGTCTGCTGAATCAGGATTTGAAGGAGGGAGTCAGAGCTCATTTACATCTGAAACCGGGACATCATCTGATTACAAGAGCAAAATTTTAGACATGGGAAGCAACAGTATGATGAGCTTCTCAAACTATCCCCTCGGTGTTTCTTCCTTGTCCGAACTTGATGATGAGTTGAGAGTAGAGTTAGAAATGATTGAACAGCAATATCAGGAGGCAATTAAAGATTTATCGAAAAGAAGAAACGTGGCCATCGAGGAGATTAAAAGGAGAATGACAGAGAAGATGGTATCATAGAATGATTTCAGTTCAAAGTAGTTTTTCGTTTTTCTTTTTTTACTGAGTACAAATTTACTTGTTTCTTTTGGTTGGGAGGCGTAGAAGAATTTACTAGTCTTTTTAATAGTTAGCTTTTACGTCCCCTGCTCTCTTCATACCCGTGAAGTGAGAAGTGTAAATACGGACCTGTGAAATTGTTTTGCTTTTCGCATGGTTTATTGAATTTATTTTTGACACTATCCAACTATTGTATATGACTCTTACAAAATTCCTTTCATTTTATATTGCTGTGTTGTGAGCTGACTCTAGCCTCTATGGGTGTGGTTTTTTGTTGGGAAAAATCATTCCCGGAAAATGAAGGCAAAATATATGTTTTGTCGGATATTATTTGTAACAAAAAAGAGATCATTTGAATGTGGAAACAAAATCATAATTTGATGCTTTAAAGATAGCAGCAACAACTAACAACAGCAACATGTCTATCAAACTAAAACACATGAGACCCTCCAAACTTTCGACCTAGAATTCAATTGTTATTTCTCTTTTTATCTTTCGGTCTTTCTATTCAAGATTTTTAAATTGTGCAACTTTCGGAAAGGTATCATCTTAAACTTCCACTTTTTAAGTTAGAACTACGTCATATTTTGTAAGCTTACATTTTATATGTTATGTTTCGTCTTACTCAAGTGGATACTGTACATTTTTAAGTTCGTTTTAAGTTTTCAATCTTCCATTTAATTTTTCTCTCTACTCTCCAAATAAGAGTATACCATTTGCAAAAAGCATGTAGTTTGATGGAAGATTTGCAAAAAGATGTACTTTGATGGTAGCTTTTGATGGTGTTATTTAGAAGCGTTGTGCAAATACATTTATAATTAAAATAAAAATGTGAGGGTTTAAGGCTGAATCTTAATGATGCAATCTTATTGTTATGAAAAATTATATGTATCTTCCCCTTCTCTATATTTGGGTACAATTTTAAATTTTTTTCTTTAAAGCTTTTTTCTTACGAGATATTTCTAGAACACTAGACATGACAATTAGGTGGATTGAGATAGTTCTTACTTTTTTTTTTCAAACTCAAATTAGAATTTTCAAATAATTCATGTTGATCACTTCAATATCCAACAGAAAAAAGAATTAAAATCTAAATTCATCACAAATGTATTTAGGTTGTATTAGAGTATCTCCGACCACCATCTATTTATTAAAATTAATTTTTAATAAAAAAAAAATCTTTTTTTTCAAAATCATATTATATTACAAATAATAAAATAAACAATTTCAAAAAATTTTATATATACATTTCAAATATTTGAAATATAAATGCAAGAATTTAATTGGTATACATTAATAGAGTAAAATAATTTTACTATGTCAATCAATCACCATCATGTATCCCACCACATTATCCTATAAATTTTAAGTTACGGGTATGACATAGTAGATTGATAAATTTCTATTGGATGACAATGTAAAATTATTTTTCACCGCATATCAATTAAACTCTAAATACAAATTAAAACATCAAATAATGACTACATATTTAATATTACATCATCAAAATTCAATAATAAAATACATAGTGAAATAAACATGATGGATTTGAAGTGAGTATTAGAGTTTTCATTGTCTGACCCGTCTCCATATTTTATAATCGAGGAAAACTCAAACTCGAACTTAAGCTCAGCCAAAACTAATTTTTCCCGTTAAATTTTAGACGAGTTCGGGTGGATATCCGCGAGTACGTGTTATGTTGTCATGCTTACTATACACTTTATTATGTCTTTTTTAGATTATTAAAAACCAAATGTGAGTCTTTTCTATTCGCTTGATATTGCTTGATCACGCGTTGCAGTAAATAGATTGTTTTCATGGTATGACTCTCAAAGATAAAATTAAATTGATTATTTGTAACACAAGTATTTTTTTCCTAGTCTTTGTTCAATCACTCTTTCTCATAATTTTGAGGTATGACTTATAATTTTAATCTTTTTATAATTTGTGTACATGTCAAATATATTTTAAGCTGAGTTGTGTAGCCGAACATGGTTAAGCATGAACTAGTCTGCAATAGCAAGAAAGGTCGAGCAATGCAGGAAGTTAGGCAAGTATCATCCATAACCTGGGTCGGTCAGGGAACCCGACTCCCATCAGTCGAACTCCTACGAGGCCTAGTACTGACCTCTATCAACCCGGTACTTACGTCGAACATGAACTCAACCGGTATACCAACAGTTGTAACGGTGGCGGCGCATCAATGCGGACGTTACCAGAGCTTCAAAGCCTATATTCATGAAGGGGAGTTACAACAATGATGGCCATGTAATGCCAGAAGGCCAAGAGACTCCTCTTAATGGCATATTTTAATGGAAGACTATAAAAGGGGCTACCACATGAGGGTTAAGAAAGACACAATCATCTTGAGACAATACACAGCACAAGTGTAGCTCTCAAATCCCCAAATATCCCTCACGATATAGACAGCGTAGTTCTTCTTGTCCAGGACAAGGGGAATTAGCACTTTTGGTGTATCTAACCATTTTTTGCTAGAACATTTGGCGCCCACCGTGGGGACTAGGTAAAACTCTCTCAGGCCACACCATACACTAACAACATGTCCTCTGAAAGAGATCCTCCAGACATGGCCCAATTGCTAGTCATGATGGAGGTCATGCGTCAGCAGAATGAGAGGCTACAAGATAACATACAAGTTCTGCAACAATAAAGTCAGGCTGACGGCGATCATGAGGAGGAGGTTCTCGAGCCATAACCTCTTTCTTAAGAGATATGGGACAACCACGTCTTGGAAAACTTTAAAGCACTTTCACTAACCTCTTATGATGGGAAGATGGATCCTCAGGAGCATGTTATTGCCATTAACAATCAGATGCCCATAATTGCCCCTTCAGATTCACTGAAGTGCAAGCTCATGGCTGATACCTTTAAGGATATAGCTCTAAGATGGTATATGATCCTTCCTCGGCTCTCCATCTTAAGCTACCAAGACTTGACTAAGAAGCTAGTACAACAGTTCTCGGCAAGCAAGCGTCGGAAGGTGTCCACGACTGCACTGTTCAGTGTTCGATAAAAATAGTCAGAATCACTACGTGAGCACCTGGCTCGATTCAATGAGGAAACCCCAAAGTATCTCATCTAAACCATGAAATATTTGTGGGAGCTTTTCAACATGGATTACGAGTCGGACAGTTTAATGATTCGTTAGCTCAGAAATCGGCTATCAGCATGGACGAGATCACTACTCGAGCTGAGTGTTACATCAAAGGAGAAGAAAGTAACCAAGAGAAAAGAGCCTGGGACAACAGTGAAAAGACAAAGAGCAAGGAAGAGGCGTCGAACAGGAAAAAGGAGCATCCTCAGGCAGCTATGCGCAAGCGACATACTCCCAAACCATACAGACAATCATACGAGTCGAACATAGACCTCACCCAATTGAATGCAAACATATGAGATATCCTTAAAGAAGTCGGTCGTATGAACCTATTACCGGAGCCTCATTGTCCCAAAAGAGCCAACGCTATCATGGGAAGGCAACCTGAGGCTTAGTGTAATTACCACCGTATACAGGAACATCACACCGAGGACTGTCAACGGTTGAAAAAAGAAATTGAAGCTCTAATCCAGAGAGGTCATCTCTTGGCATATGTGAAGGATTCTCGGCTGCAAAATAACAAGAGAAGTCCCCGCCGATACGACCCGAAACCAGAAAAGTCATCCAGGAAGAAGAGTTCAGATGCCGAAGAGGGTCACGAGACAAAGACAGCTCGGTACACGCTAAACATCATTGCTGAAGGGTTTGTTGGTGGCGGAGAAGCAAGTTTGTTCAGAAAGAGATATGCTAGGATAATCATCCATATCGACCAGAGATCTCCAGAGAAACTGGAAGGCGACTTAGATGTTGTAACATTCTCAAAACAAGACGCGATAGGAGTCCTAGCTCATGAAAATGATCCCATAGTTATTAAAGTACAAATAAGATACTGGAGCATGAAAAAGCTATTGATAGACCCTAGAAGCTCAACCGATGTAATGTATTGGGATGCTTTCAGAGGAATGAGGCTCGATACGACCTAGCTATTACCATTAAAAGGCAGTCTAGTAGGATTTTCGGGAGAACAAGTGCAAGTGCTCGGGCATCTGGAGTTGTCGACCACCTTTGGCAACACGGCTAATGCGAAGACCATCTGAGTAAGGTACCTGATAGTCAATGCTGCTTCACCCTATAACATCATTATAGGTCGGCCATCATTCAACGCCCTAGAAGCTCACTTTCAACTTTGTATTTGACCATGAAATTCCCACTCAGAGATGGCCAGGTTGGTATTGTCAAAGGTGACTAGGGGTTGGCGATAAAGTGTTATAAGGATAGCCTAAGGTTGAAAAGAAAGGAACCCACGGGAGAAGCAGATCCCAAAAATACCCTCAAAGTTCACCTGGTCGACATAAACCTATGTGATGATTCATTCGAAGACAACATAGTGCCCAACAAAGAAACAAAGCAAGTCCAGATTGAGCACCTACCATCTCATGTTACACACATCAGGGTCAATTTGTCCCCCGAAGAGGAGAAAGAGATTGTTCAAAAAAATGTGGATCTTTTCGCATGTAAACCTTCATACATGTTAGGGATAGACCCTAATTTCATGTGCCATCACTTAGCAATCGATCCGGATATCAAGCCAGTTTCCCAAAGGAAAAGAAAGGGTGTTGATGAAAAGAGGAAAGAAATTACATAGGAAGTCAAGAAGCTGTTATAGGTCGGGTTCATCAATGAGATCAAGTATTTAAACTGGTTATCCAACGTAGTGATGGTAAAGAAGAAATTCGATAAATGGAGAATGTATGTAGACTTCACAGACCTCAACAAGGTGTGTCCTAAAGATCTGTATCCATTGCCAAATATTAATCGATTGATAGATGCTACGTCTGGATTCCGTTTGCTCAGCTTTATGGATGCATACTCCGGATACAATCAGATCTAGATGAATCCAATAGAC